CATCAGCTTCCTTGGCACTATCCTCTCACCTCCACAATTCCACATCTGTCTCCGTGGCTGAACTCTAAGTCCTTTGGCTTCACTTGTTCAGGGTGTTGACCTTAAACTGGGATTTGAGTGATAGAAAAATTGGTTGAGGTTCAGGTAGGTCTGCTGCAAGAGAGGATTATGGGCAACAAGATGGCTGCTATTATAAACATTCATTGCCCCTGACCACCCACTACCAAGCATACTTTTACTTTCTGTGATTGCCACGGATTCCATATCTTAAACTTTTCAAAGTTTCAAAGCTTCACTTGAGTTATCTCAATTGACCGCATAGCAATACCATGAAATAGGCAAAGCAGGTATCATTCTCATTTTACAGGTGGCTTACCAGTCAGAAAGAGGTCAGACGAGTTCGCCAGGATTACAGAGGAGAACTCTCGTTTTCCCCGTCATCTGGGCTTAGAACACTGAAACCCTCTAGAGCTCATCTGTCTATTCCTGTATCCAGCAAAGCACCAGTTCCTTTAGATCGTTTCTACATAGTATCTGTTTCCATTTCTTCTTCTCCACCTCCTCTTCCACTCTCCACCTTTGGATCCTCACCACCCGCTGCCTGAATTAGAACTGGGGAGCTGGCTTTCCAGATGCCACTTTTTCCTCATTCCTCTCCATCCTGCATTACCTTTCTAGACTAAACTTCCTTAAACATTGCTTTCATTATGTCATTTCCTTGCTCAAAATCTTTTGACGCTCTCTTTCTTTCTATGTTGAATGGAAGCTCTTCAGCCAGGATTTCAAAGTTCTCCTTAATCTGAACTCACCTTTTCAACTTCTCAAAACAGGTGCTTTAAAAATAAAAATGGGTTTGCGGGGAGGACAGAAGTGGGCTGGAAGAGATTAATGGGGGGAAAGGAGGACCTATGCAATGCTTTCAACAATAAAGATTTAAAATAAATAAAATAAAATAAAAAGGGATAGGTGGAGGGGGAAGGGGGAATAGAGGGGGCAAAAGGTGCTGGAAAAATAAAATAAAAATAAAAATGGTAACCAAACACATGCAAGAATGTACAAAGAAACCCAAATTAAAACAACAGAAAATAAAATAAAAATGGATAGGTGGAGGGGGAAGAGGGAATAGAGGGGGCAAAAGGTGCCGGAAAAATAAAATAAAAATGGCAACCAAACACATGCAAGAAACCCAAATTAAAACAATAGCCTGGCTGGTGTGGCTCAGTGATTGAGCGTCCACCTATGAACCAAGAGATCATGGTTCAATTCCCTGTCAGGGCACATGCCCGGGTTGCAGGCTCGATCCCCAGTAGGGAGCGTGCAGGAGGCAGCGGATCAATGATGTTTCTCTCTCATCGATGTTTCTAACTCTCTATCTCTCTCCCTTCCTCTCTGTAAAAAATCAATAAAATATATTTTAAAAAAACAAAACAAAAAAAACAACAGCCTAGCTGGTGTGGCTCAGTGATTGAGCTTCCACCTATGAACCAAGAGATCATGGTTCAATTCCCTGTCAGGGCACATGCCCGGGTTGCAGGCTCGATCCCCAGTAGGGGACGTGCAGGAGGCAGTGGATCAATGATGTTTCTCTCTCATTGATGTTTCTATCTGTTCCTCTCC